GTCAGGCTTGGAGACAAGTTCCTTCTCTCTCCTCCAGGGCGACTCTGGGGGCCCTCTGGTCTGCCAGAAGAATGGAGCCTGGACTCTGGTGGGCATCGTGTCCTGGGGCAGCGGCACCTGCTCCACCACCACCCCTGCTGTGTATGCCCGCGTCACTGCGCTCATGCCCTGGGTTCAGCAGATCCTGGCGGCCAACTGAGCCATGGTTCCGGCCATTCCCACTCCAGTGATTTCCAATAAATTGATCTAATCAGAAACAGTGACCACGTGTGTCTTTCTGTGACCCAGGGGACATGGGAATGGGGTTGTCCATGTTGCCCCCAAGGGATGGCGTTCCTGTCCCCTATCCAGGGTGCAGGTGTCCTGGAACCCCTCCTCCTCAGGAAGCGGAGGTCTTTATCTCCTCCCTGCTCCGGACTCCACTGCAGGACAGCATCAAGCCCTGCCTCCTGGAGCCAGCTGGACCCATGGAGCTTTCTGGAAGGCAGCAGCCCTTCTGCCTCTGCCAAGGCTCCAGCCACTTTCTCTGCTCACAGCCTCTCCCTACCCAGTGTCCCTTCAGACCCCGGCCTCGGCACAGGCTGCACACACACCCTGCTGCCAGCGAGGTCAGCACTGAGTGTCGGCGCTGCTGTCCTAGAGGTCTGACGCCCTCCGCGCAACTCCTCACGGCGCAGCAGAGCTGGCTCTTTCCTCAGGCGGGTGGACTGGCCTCTCTCTCTCTCTCTCTCTCTCTCTCTCTCTCTCTGAGGTTAGCCAACCATGAAGCCCAATGCCATCAGTTCTTTAAGGAGATGCAGACTGGTGGCGTCCCTTGTCAACATTTGTCCTCATGATTACCTGGAGTTTGTCCATGAAGATACCTCCCCCGTAGATCACTGAGGTCCCAGTGACACTGTTCACATAGAACAGGGCAAACTTTTACCTTTCCCTTTACCGTGTGTGTGTGTGTGTGTGTGTGTGTGTGTGTGTGTGTGTAGTGCTGTGAGTTGAACCCAGGGCCTCACACAGGCTAGGCAGGCACCCTCCCATGGAACTGTATCTGTAGTCTTTTCAAAAACTTTGAGACATGTTCTCTCTCAGTTGCCCAGGAGTCCTCAAACTTGTGATTCTCCTGCCTTGAGGTAGCTGGGGTTTCAGGTGGGCACCACGACACCTGCTCTTTATGAATTTTTTAAGCACCACTGAGTTAAAGTCTTTTTTTTTATTATTTTTTATTTTGAGACAGCTCTTCCTTAAGTTGCTTATGCCCTCGCTAAGTTGTTGAGGCTGACTTTGAATTTGCAATCCTCCTGCCTCAGCCTCCTGAGCCACTGGGATTCCAGGAATGTGTCACCAGGCCCAC